CTAGGATTACAGGTGTTAGCCACCACACCTGACCTTTTTTTTTTTGAGACAAGGTCTTGCTCTGTCACCCAGACTGGAGTGCTGTGGTACAAACAGCTCACTGCAGCCTTGACTTCCCTGGCTCAAGCAGTCTTCCTACCTCAGCCTTCTGAGTATCTGGGACTACAGGTGCATGCCACCACACCTAATGTTTTGTAGAGACAGGGTCTCACTACATTGCCCAGGCTGGTCTCAGACTCCAGGGGCTCAAGCAATCCTTCCACCTTGGCCTCCCAAAGTGCTGGGATTACAGGAGTGAGCCACTGTGCCCAGCCAATAAACCTCATTAAAAAAATTTTTTTTTTAAAAGAGACAAGGTTTCACCATGTTGGTCTGGTTGGTCTCGAACTTCTGAACTCAGGTGATCCCCCCGCCTCAGCTTCCCAAAGTGCTGGGATGATAGGTATGAGCCACCATGCCCGGCCAATAAACCTCATTTTATTTTTTTTTTGCGATGGAGTTTCGCTATTGTTACCCAGACTGGAGTGCAATGTCATGATCTTGGCTCACCGCAACCTCCGCCTTCTGGGTTCAAGCAATTCTCCTGCCTCCGCCTCCTGAGTAGCTGGGACTACAGGCATGCACCACCATGCCCAGCTAATTTTTGTATTTTTTTTTTTTTTTTGGTAGAGACGGGGTTTCACCTTGTTGACCAGGATGGTCTCGATCTCTTGACCTCGTTATCCACCCGCCTCGGCCTCCCAAAGTGCTGGGATTATAGGCGTGAGCCACCGCGCCCGGCCTATAAACCTCATTTTAAAAACAAAACAAAAATCTCGTATTTCTGAGAATTACTGATATACTGATTAAAACCTGAACCCTTAATCTGTGGTCCCCAAATTCCTCCTTTTTATATGATCAGTTTGTAATCAATGTCTTGGGTATGTTTTAGGGATGAGCTTATTCCTTCAAAGAGCTGACCATATTGGTCAGTATTAGCCTCCCCACCTTGAATTCGGGCCTTTGATTCACTGTCTCTGTGGGTTCTCTGTGACCTTCAAGATGCCACAGTAAAACCTGCCTGGGCCTCTCTCTGCTGCCTTTGATGGGATCTGCTGCAAGCTTCACAAGGGTGGAGGAGGTGTCAGTGTTGCTCCCTGTCCCCAAGCACTACCGTTGGGCAGCCATGGAGTCCCTGACTCTGATTAGCTCTTTTCAGGTATCAGATTCTGCATCCAGTAACCCACAGTAAATGTCACATGAATGTTCCACATGCAGCCCACACATCCAAAACTGAACTCTTTCCACTGCTTCCCAAATCTGTCCCTCCTGCTGCACTCCTGTGCAAGGGGCTGGGTGTTGCCCTCATTCTTCCCTTCCACCTGACATGGAAGTTCTCCTGCTGATATCTCTTGATTCCACTCCACTGTTTGGGGCACTACACTCTTTTTTTCTATTTTTCTTTTTTTTGAGACGGAGTCTTACTCTGTCGCCTGTCTGGAGTGCAGTAGCGCAATCTCGGCTCACTGCAACCTCCACCTGGGTTCACGCAATTCTTCCGCCTCAGCCTCCCGAGTAGCTGGGACCACAGGCGCATGCCACCATGCCTGGCTAATTTTTGTATTTTTAGTAGAGACAGAGTTTCACCATGGCCAGGATGGTCTCGATCTCTTGACCTCATGATCCGCCCGCCTCGGCCTCCCAAAGTGCTGGGATTACAGGCGTGAGCCACCGCACCTGGCTCTGTTTTTCTTTTCTGAGACAGGGTCTTGCTCTGTCGCCCAGGCTGGAGTGCAGTGGTGTGATCATAGCTTATGTGATCATGCCTGAACTCCTGGGCTCAAGCAATCCTGCCTTACTCTCCGAAGTAACTGGGACTACAGGTGCATGCCATCATACCCAGCTAATTTTTTAATCTTTTGTAGAGACAGGGTCTTACTGTGTTCTCTAGGCTAGTCTCAAACTCCTACACTCAAGCTGTCCTCCCACCTCCACCCCCCAAAGTGCTGGGATTACCACACCTGGCCAAGGCAGCACCACACTCTCACTGGCCCTTTTAATCCACTCTGAACCTCCTCCAGGTTAATATCATCTTTCTCTCCAAGCACAGATCTGATTGCCTCTTTCCTCATAAACCCTTTCATAGCTCTCCTTCACTTACGAGGAAGGTCCTGGTCCTTACTTGTGTTGTTCTCCATAACCAGCTTCTGCTAACCTTCTATAACTTCATTTCCACATCCCTGACTTTGTACCACCAAACTGCCAATTCCCAGACACAGGAGGTTACTCTGTGTTTCTGAGCCATTGCAATGTGTTATTCTATCCCTGAAACACCATTCCCACCTTTCTTCATCTGATTCTTTCTTGCTATAAGATTCAGCATAAGGCCAGGCGCGGTGGCTCACGCCTATAATCCCAGCACTTTGGGAGGCCGAGGCGGGTGGATCACGAGGTCGAGAGATCGAGACCATCCTGGTCAACATGGTGAAACCCCGTCTCTACTAAAAATACAAAAATTAGCTTGGGCATGGTGGTGCGTGCCTGTAGTCCCAGCTACTCAGGAGGCTGATGCAGGAGAATTGCCTGAACCCAGAAGGTGGAGGTTGCGGTGAGCCGAGATTGTGCTATTGCACTCCAGTCTGGGTAACAAGAGCGAAACTCTGTCTCAAAAAAAAAAAAAAAAAAAAAAAGATTCAGCATGGAGGTCACCTCCATCAGAAAGCTATTCCTAACCCCAGCTTCACTCTACATTATCTACTGTTGGTTCTTAAGCTTAACACCATTTCGTATTGAAATTATGTTTTTGGCTGGGTGCAGCGGCTCACACCTGTTATCCTAGTACTTTGGGAGGCTAAAGCCGGCAATCACTTTAGGTCAGGAGTTGGAGATCAGCCTGGCCAACATACCAAAACCCTTTTTCTACTAAAAATACAAAAATTAGCTGAGCATGGTGGTGGGCGCCTTGGTACTCAGGGGCTGAGGCATGAGAATTGCTTGAACCTGGGAGACAGAGGTTATAGTTAGCTGAGATCATGCCTCTGTACTCTAGCCTGGGTAAAGTACAGGTCTGATCGTCTCTGTGGGTTCTCTTTGGTCCTCAAGATGCCGCAGTAAAACCTGCCTGGGCCGCCTCCTGCTGCCTTTGATGGCAGCAAATGTCTCAAAAAAAAGAAAAAAAGTATCTGTTTTTATGTTTTTATCTTTATTTAGATTCTGAGTTAATTGACCATGCTACATGTGTGTATGTGTGTGTTAAAATATGACCTATATTGGTATTGGTACATTGGACCATGTTTTATTTATTCCTGTGCCCCGATATCTACTAGATATTTAATAAATGTCTTATCTTAATTGATCATTTCTCTTTCAGTTCTGTGTGTCATATTTTTTTTTTTTTTGAAACAGATCTCGCTCTGTCACCCAGGCTGGAGTGCAATGGCGCCATCTTGGCTCACTGCAACCTCGACCTCCCGGGTTCAAGCGATTCTTCTGCCTCAGCCTCCCAAGTAGCTGGGGTTACAGGTGTGCCCTACCACGCCCAGCTAATGGTTTTGTACTTTTAGTAGAGACGGCATTTCGCCATGTTGGCCAGGCTGGTCTTGAGCTCCTGACCTCAAGTGGTCGACCACTTCAGCCTTTCAAAGTGTTGAAAGGCCATTTATACTACAGCCATCCATGTAGTGTGCTGGAGAAGTGAGAGACCATGGAACAGGAAGTTAAACTGCCAGGGTACAGGCTGGGCACGGTGGCTGAAGCCTGTAATCCCAACAGTTTGGGAGGCTGAGGCGGGTGGATCACGATGTCAAAAGATCGAGACCGTCCTGGTCAACATGGTGAAACCCTGTCTCTACTAAAAATACAAAAAATTAGCTGGGCATGGTGGCACGTGCCTGTAGTCCCAGCTACTCAGAAGGCTGAGGCAGGATAATTGCCTGAACCCAGGAGGCAGACGTTGCAGTGAGCTGAGATTGCACCATTGCACTCCAGCCTGAGCAACAGGTTGGAGCAACTCCAACAAGAGCAAAACTCCATCTCAAAAAATAAATAAATAAATAAACTGCGGGGGTGGGGGGGGTATGGTGCATTAGCAAAGGAGTGGAACCCTTCTAGGAGAATGAGGTTAGGGCAGAGCCCCAGGGAAGTGGTTTGTTGTTTGTTGTTTGTTGCAGGGGGACCAACCCCTGTAGGAGGCCTAAAGGGCTGGGAAAGATATCCTTGAAGGAGGCCTTGGAGAAGTAGCTTTCTGAGCCCTGGTGGGTGATGGTTTTAGAGAGCAGGCCTCCAACACTTCACACCCCCATTTCAGAAAAGATGAGTCAGAGTAATAGGAATGATTTTAACATTTTAGGAACATGGGACTTCAGCTAGGATAAGGGGCCCCGGGACAGGAGTGAGGAGGGTGGGCACCCTGACAGCTGAGGCTGTGTGTGTTCCTGCCCCCTCTCAGGGTTGAAGAGCAGCATGAGACTGAGGCCCAGGGAGATATGAGTCAAAGCTGTGAAGCTCAGGCCATCCATTCAGCTAGACTGTGCGTTGAGCCCAGGTTCTTGAACAGCAAAGCCATACTCCTGACATGGGAAATATATGAGAGTTAGCACTTCGGGTTTTTTTGTTTTTTTTTTTTTTTTTGAGACAGAGTCTCATTCTTGCCCAGGCTGGAGTGCAGTGGTACGATCTCGGCTCACTGCAACCTCCGCCTCCTGGGTTCAATTGGTTCTTGTGTTTCAGCCTCCCAAGTAGCTGGGATTACAGGTGTGTGCCACCACACCTGGCTAATTTTTGTATTTTTAGTAGAGAACAGGGTTTCACCATGTTGACCAGGCTGGTCTTGAACTCCTGACCTCAGGTAATCCACCTGCCTCAGCCTCCCAAAGTGTTGGGATTATAGGCATGAGCTACCACGCCCGGCCAGGACTTTGGTTTTAATCAGACTGCATTTCTGGAGAGGGAGGGCTGAGGAGGATGGCTGGTTTCCTTTGAGTTGTCCTGGCTGTGCTGACTTGTTCTCTCTTTGTGCATAGGTGTAGACGGGGCACTGCCTTCAGAGCAGGTCCTGCCAGCTTTGCTGGAGAGGATGCCCTCGTGTCCGTGATGGGCTGTGGGACAAGCAAGGTCCTTCCTGAGCCACCCAAGGATGTCCAGCTGGATCTGGTCAAGAAGGTGGAGCCCTTCAGTGGCACTAAGAGTGATGTGTACAAGCACTTCATCACAGAGGTGGACAGTGTTAGCCCTGTCAAAGCCGGGTTCCCGGCAGCAAGTCAACGTGCACACCCCTGCCCCAGTCCCCCAACTGCTGGCCACACAGAGCCTCCTTCAGAACCACCACGCAGGGCCAGGGTAGCTAAGTACAGGGCCAAGTTTGACCCACGTGTGACAGCTAAGTATGACATCAAGGCCCTAATTGGCCGAGGCAGCTTCAGCCGAGTGGTACGTGTGGAGCATCGTGCAACCCGGCAGCCATATGCCATCAAGATGATCGAGACCAAATACCGGGAGGGGCGGGAAGTGTGTGAGTCGGAGCTGCGCGTGCTGCGTCGGGTGCGTCATGCCAACATCATCCAGCTGGTGGAGGTGTTCGAGACGCAGGAGCGGGTGTACATGGTGATGGAGCTGGCCACGGGTGGAGAGCTCTTTGACCGCATCATTGCCAAGGGATCCTTCACCGAGCGTGATGCCACACGGGTGCTGCAGATGGTGCTGGATGGTGTCCGGTATCTGCACGCACTGGGCATCACACACCGAGACCTCAAGCCTGAGAATCTGCTCTATTACCATCCAGGCACTGACTCTAAGATCATTATCACCGACTTTGGCTTGGCCAGTGCCCGAAAGAAGGGTGATGACTGCTTGATGAAGACCACCTGTGGCACACCCGAATACATTGCCCCGGAAGTCCTGGTCCGCAAGCCCTACACCAACTCAGTGGACATGTGGGCCCTGGGCGTCATTGCCTACATCTTGCTCAGTGGCACCATGCCCTTTGAGGATGACAACCGCACCCGGCTATACCGGCAGATCCTCAGGGGCAAGTACAGTTATTCGGGGGAGGTGAGTCTTCCCTGTCCCTGTCCTGGGATATTGGGGAGGCACCTGCAGGGGCAGGTATATCCTGCCACTCTTAGCCAGAGGTACGTCCTCAGGGCTATGTTCATGAGGGCCAAGCAGGTCACATAAAAGGGACAAAGTGAGACTATCTGAATGTAGTTTGGGTTTCCTCAAGGTGAACTCCGAGGCAAGGACTTGGGAGCAGATAGTTTATTTGGGATGTGATTCAAGTAATTACAGGTGAAGGAGTGGAGAAAATGAGGTGGGAAAGGGAGAAAGTCAGTAGAGTATATTGAGAAGTATATTGCCACTGTGGGCCACTGGGGACCTTGGTAATAACCATGTGGAATGGGCCTCATGTTGTACCACCAAAGGGCAGGAACGTGAATTTCTTCTTTTTTTTCTTTTTAATTCACTGACTCCTGTACCTCATGGGTTGAGAATTTCTTTGAAGGCACTAAATCCCTGGTGCTTCTCGGCTGTCCGGATGTCAGCTAGTGCTGAAGAAAGTCTTCAGGCAGAGAAGCAGAGAGATGCAGGCACTGGCGGTGGGAAGCTGTCACCGGGCACAGAGCATTGTGCCGCAGCTGCAGATGGGCTCAGGGGTGAGCTGAGAGAATGTGAGCAGGGCCTTCCGAGCATCTGCTCCGTGGGGCCCCAGGCAAGCTAGACTGAACATGCCCATCTCAGAGAGCAGCTTCTTATCTCTGTCCAGTTTTGCCACACAATGAGCTTCTCATGTGTCCAGATCTTCTGATTTTGTTTTAGAAGAGAAGCTAGACAATTGGATCTTTTTATTTTTGAGATGGAGTCTTGTCATGTTGCCCAGGCTGGAGGCTGGAGTGTAGTGACACAATCTCGGCTCACTGCAATCTCTGCTTCCTGGGTTCGAGCGATTCTCCTACCTCAGCCTCCCAAGTAGCTGGGATTACAGGCATGTGCCACCTCGCCTGGCTAATTTTTGTATTTTAGTAGAGACGAGGTTTCGTCGTGGTGGCCAGGCTGGTCTCGAACTCCAGACCTTAGATGATCTGCCTGCCTTGGCCTCCCAAAGTGCTGGGATTACAGGTGTGAGCCACCACTCCTGGCTAGAAAATCTAATCTTATAATGTTAGAATATTCTGATTCACTGCTTGAACCCGGAAGGCAGAAGTTGCAGTTAGCCGAGATCATGCCACTGCACTCCAGCCTGGGCGACAGAGCGACTCCGTCTCAAAAAAAAAAAACAAAAAAAAAAAGAATGTTCGGATTCACGTATTTAATCATCTTCTTGTGTGCCAACGAACACTAACCTGTGGATCAGATTCAACCAGCATGCCATCAGTTTGTGTCTTTGAATCCAGTGATAGTCCAGATATCTTCCAAACCTGTGAGGTTTTAGCACTATTGGGAGCCGAAAGAAGGTACAGAATAGTGAGAGCTTGTTGGTCCTTAGGAAGGATGCTGACTGAGTGGAAGACAAGACTGACTGCAGGAAGCAGCAAGCATGGCAGCTGGAGCCCAGTGGTGTGCTGGGAAGGATGTGAAGAAGAGAGTGTGTGCTGGCTTTATGTGGGAGGGAGGTGGGCTTTGCAGGACAACAGGATTTTGCCAAGGCAGTGAGGGTCCCCTCTTCTAGGGGGTTCCTCATAGAGCCCCCTCAGGTGTGGACCTGCCAAGGTGCTATCCATGCCTCTTGCACATCTGTGGAGGGGAAAAAGCTCTGGAGTAGCTCCCTTCTGTGGCCCAGCTTCCTTCCCATGGGTGTGGGCCAGGCCCTCTCTGGCTCCGGCCTGTGTTTCCTTCAAGAGTCACCCAACAGCTGCTGGTGCAGCTCATGCCTGTAATCTCAGCACTTAGGGAGACCAAGGTGGGTGGATTACTGGAGGTCAGGAGTTCAAGATTAGCCTTGCCAACATGGTAAAACCCCATCTCTACTAAAAATACAAAATTAGCTGGGTGTGGTGGCATGTGCCTATAATCCCAGCTACTTGGGGGTGCCGAGGCAGGAGAATTGCTTGGACCCAGAAAGCATGGATTGCAGTGAACTGAGATTGTGCCATTGCACTCAGTATAGCCTGGACAAAAACAGTGAAACTTCTAAAAAAAAAAAAAAAAAAAAAGTCATCCAACAGCCTCAGGCCACTTACTTTGCTTTCAGCGCTTGAGGTCCTATGCTGTATCACCTTCCCTGACAGCTTCTGGATGTGGCTTTGGGGGTCCCTCAAGGACTTCCTTCTGCTGAGGAGGGGGGTAGCATTCTCTACAGGCATTCCCATGTCATGTCTCTCAAAGGTGGCACAAGGAAGGGAGGGAAGGAGTTCAAGACTAGCCTTCAGGCCAACTCTGTTGTAGGCACAGAGGAGGGTATCTGTTCGTACCACTCTTAGGAGATGGTTGAGTAGGAGTGAAGCAGGTGGTCAAGATTTATATCAGTAACTGGGACCGGTGGGCCTAGGGGTGAAGGGGCTACTGTAGAACACCAGGTGCTTATTGCAGAATGGTCAGCATTGTGGAGAATTCAGTCCTGGCCCACTATCATTCTCATATTTTATTTTTTATTTATTTTTATTTTTAATTTTATTAAAAAAAATAAAGACAGGGTTTTACCATGTTGGCCAGGCTGGTCTTGAACTCCTGACCTCAGGTGATCTACCTGCTTCGGCCTCCCAAAGTGCTGAGATTACAGGTGTGAGCCACCATGCCCGGCCTCTAAGATTTTTTTTTTCCTCTCACTCTCTTTTTTTGTTTTTAGAGATGGGGTTTCACCATATTGGACAGGCTGGTCTTGAACTCCTGACCTCAGGTGATCCACCCACCTTGGCCTCCCAAAGTGCTGGGATTACAGGTGTGAGCCACCACACCCAGCCCACTCTCAGATTTTAAGTGGAAAGGTGGGTTCTGCAGAAAATCTGGCTGTCAGGCCTGGTGTAGTGGCTCACGCCTGTAATTCTAGCAGTTTGGGAGGCCAAGGTGGGTGGATTCCCTGAGCTCAGGAATTCAAGACCAGCCTGGGGAACACAGTGAAACCCCATCTCTACTAAAAATATAAAAAAACTAGCTGGACATGGTGGCATGTGCCTGTAATCCCAGCCACTCAGGAGGCTGAGGCAGGAAAATTGCTTGAACCTAGGAAGCAGAGGTTGCAGTGACCTGAGATTGTGCCATTGCACTCCAGCCTCAGTGACAAAATGAGACTCCATCTCAAAAGAAAAAAGAAAAAAAATCTGGTTGTTACATGCTTATAGCACTGGGCAGTAAATGGGACCATATTGGTACTGAATGAGAGCCTGGGAAGTCAGAGTATAGTCCTTAATACTCAATTAACAGTCAGGAGTGGCCAACAGTGAATTAACTGTCTCACTCAGGACCATTCCAGTCTAATTAGATTTGATTCAAGGCTCAGATAAAGCTTTGGGTTTGGTTCCCAGTGTCATTATGGCAAGTGTGAGCTTTTGGGTCTATGGAAGGCACTGGGAAGAGTGAGAGGAGCAGGCACAGGTGGTGATAGAGGGAGCAATCTAAAGATAAGCCCCTTGATCCTGATGATGATCCTTCTCAATAACGTTGGGGCAGTGACTTTATGTTTACTTAGTTCTCAGATATGGATTGGCCATCAGGTTGACACAATCTGTAGCTATAAACTGGTGATAAGAAATCCTTTCCATGGCTGGGCATGGTGGCTCATGCCTATAATCCCAGCACTTTGGGAGGCCAAGGCAGGTGGATTGCCTGAGGTCAGAAGTTCAAGACCAGCCTGGCCAATGGTGAAACCCTCTCTCTACTAAAAATAGAAACAAATAAATAAATAAATACAATAAATTAGCCAGGCGCAGTGGCAGGCACCTGTACTCCCAGCTACTTGGGAGGCTGAGGCAGGAGAATTGCTTGAACCTGGGTGGCAGAGGTTGCAGTGAACCGAGATCGCACTACTGCACTCCAGCCTGGGGGATAGAGTAAGGAAAAAAAGAAAGAAAGAAATCCTTTTCTACTGGGGCACAATGGCTCATGCCTATAATCCAAGCACTTTGGGAGACTAAGGTGGGCAGATCACCTGAGGTCGGGAGTTCGAGACCATGGAGAAAACCCCATCTCTGCTAAAAATACAAAATTAGCCGGGCATGGTGGCGGGTGCCTGTAATCCCAGCTACTCGGGAGGCTGAGGTAGGAGAATCGCTTGAACCCGGGAGGTGGAGGTTGCGGTGAGCCGAGATTGCACCACTGCTCTCCAGGCTGGCAACAGACTGAGACTCTGTCTCAAAAAAAAAAAGAAAAGAAAAATCCTCTCCCAGGCTGGGCACAGTGGCTCACATCTATAATCTCAGCACAGTTTAGGAGGCTGAGGCAGGAGTATTGCCTGAAGCCAGGAGTTTCAGACCAGCCTGGGCAACATAGTGAAACCCCATCTCTTAAAAAAATTAGCTGGGTATGGTGGCACACCCCTGTACTCTAGCACCTCAGGAGGCTGAGGTGGGAGGATCACTTGAGCCCAGGAGTTCAAGGTTGCAGAGAGCTATTTGTGTCACTGCACTCCAGCCTGTGTGATAGAGCAAGGATGGAGCAAGACACTGTCTTTTTTTTTTTTTTTTGAGATTGAGTTTCTCCCTTGTTGCCCAGGCTGGAGTGCAATGGTGAGATCTCAGTTCACTGCATTCTCCACCTCTGGGGTTTAATCAGTTCTCCTGCCTCAGCCTCTGGAGTAGCTGGGACTACAGGTATGTGCCACCATGCCTGGCTAATTTTGTATTTTTAGTAGAGATGGGGTTTTCTCCATGTTAGTCAGGCTGGTCTCAAACTCCTGACCTCAGATGATCTGCTCACCTTGGCCTGCCAAAGTGCTGGGATTATAGGCGTGAGTCACCGTACCTGGTCTGAATTTTTTTTTGCTGTTTAAACGGAGTCTCGCTCTGTCTCCCAGGCTGGAGTGCAATGGCATGATCTCAGCTCACTGCAGCCTCCATCTCCCAGGTTACACCGATTCTCCTGCCTTAACCTCCTGGGTAGCTGGGATTATAGGTGGGTGC